GTCGAAAGAAATGAAAAGCAACACTGCATCCAAAACTCATTACTGCCGCAACGGTGTGTTTACATTGTACGCATCAACTATTGACTTCAAGGGTTTAACTGGAAACAAAAGTCTGATGATTTTCTAAAGTTAAGTTAAGTATATGCTGATTCAATTCAATACTTGAGTGTCGTTTTTTAATTAAAAAAATTCTCCGTCACACAATAGTTTTCTGTTTTTTTGTGCATTGTCAAAGTAGGGTGTGTGTTTTTTTCAACAATATGTAAAGCATTAAGCAAAATTTGGCGAGTTATTTTTTCCATCGTTTTTTGTCTTCTTCACCTTTTACATTAAGTAATTACTATTTTTAAAACTTTTTTTTTTTATAGTAGACTTTCATAAAAAAAAGACTACATAAGTTAGTCCAATATATTAGCCACTGTAAATGTACAAATTAGTCGCCTGATTTATTTAACGGAATATTTGGTTTCATAGTAAGCTATTGAAATGTATTTTCTCGCGTATGTTTTAATGTGTAGTTGTTATAAAATATGTACATGAAAATCAAATGTAAATTTGAATCTATTATCAGAATGTTAAAATTTAGTTAATATTGCAAAGAAATGTTATTCTCTATTAGGTAAATAGGACATTTTAACTGAACGGTAACAATTTGAGTGGAATAAGATAGAATTATTAAATATAACATAACAAAATGTGTAAAACTCATTACCTGCATTTTCTGGTGCAAAGTAGAGAGAGCCGTGACACGTATGATATTTTTCTCAACTTTATTAAACTTGTGAGTATCATACATTTTCCTACTAATACCGAATACGTCGCTTATTCCCGAGGTAAATGGATTTCATCTATTCTCTATTTGTTATATAATGGTACAATATATTTCATTACGTTTTAATAAAATGATACCTATAGCTATATACGATAAATGTACGGTGTAATAGACTATATATTTTTGGAAACTACTGCACATAAAAATGAATATTAATGTTACAATAACTGTAAAACGGAGATTTTGTGAGCATATATTCGTAGATTTTGTTTTTTTATAGTATTGAAAGTTGAAATTGTTTATTGAAATGTTCTAACTTGATACGACCATGTCCTGTACGTCGTAAAACGTACACCGTGGCCTATATAATAAAAATATATAATACAATATTAGGTTGCGTATAAAGGGGAAACACTCGTGGGTTTTATTTAATTTCATAATTATTGTATACAAAAGCCCATTGTTTTTGTCGGTTCTCGTGATGGTGATCGTAGGAAAGCGTGTTAATAAAAATAAAATATTGTATAATTATGTAGTAAAAAAACTAAGCAAATAACTAATGGTGCCGTGTACGTTTGCAGTGTGTTCAATCGCCAACGAGTAAAACGAATAATAATAATAGAAACAGCTGTGGTAAAAAAAAAAAAAATACAAAATTACCGAGTTTAGGGGATAGAAAGTTATGAATGGTTTGTTAGCGTGTGAACCGACGTGGGAGGTGGTAATCGGCACCTAATCGCAGTAGACGAGCCGCGTCCAAGGACAACCGTGGAGGGATGATGAAACGGCAAAAGTTTTCTGCTCTATTAAAGTAGTCTTATCGTTTACTGGGTGTACCTCGGACCCCGTGCCAGGGCCGAGACATTGGTGGGGGGGGCGAAAAAAAAGATTAATTGAGGCGGATCGCGATCGACGAGAGTAACCGAAAAACGCTTTTATATAGATTGTGTATCCGATTTCGTCGTCGACCGGAAGAACCGTTCCGATTGTTGTTAAACAAGTACAATAATATATCATTATGTATACATTATGCAGTCGAGGTGCACGGTCAGTCGGCTAATACATTACACCGTCGTTCTACGCCGGATGTCGTTTATTTCGCCGTTGAAGTTACAACGACGTCTTAACGGAGTTCAATGGCGGCCGATCGTTTCTTAGAGATTTTTTGCTCGCTCACTCACAAACACCAGCTGCGTCGCGTTATTACAGAAAACAACGTCACAACGAAACGCTGAAGCTTGCATAAGCATATTTATGTAGTTAGAAGTCCGGCGCGCTTCGACAGTGGGTGATGTCTACGATGACACCTTTGGCGCAGATGAAGAATGAAAAATTCACAACAACGCAGCGTATGCGGAATGACAATGTTTCTACACGTTTCTCGGCGCGCATAATAGTATATATTATTGATAATTTCGGTTTTACGACTTCGTAGCGTTTTTATTGCATAGCGCGTTTCGACTTTCCGTCGTTGTTTTTACTGCAATAGGCCGCCCTCCATCCATCGATGACATTGATCTATTTGTTTATTACGAGCAGTCGTCACAATGTTTGCATGTGGCTGCGCTTTTAAAAATATAATATTCCGTCATTACCGCGCCGTGCGAACACAGCAGATTGCTTATGCTAGCACATCCATAGTATTATTATAATTATTATTTTTATGTTTTAAGTGAATTTTATGTGCTGCGATTATCCGCATCGAGTAATTAGACTTTTCTTGTCGAAACATCCGGTCGTTTGTTTATAAAGTTCCATGTATCCAGTTCAATAACTTTTCTCGTTATCCACTCCAGTTGGCCAAAGCGTCAAATTCTTTAAAGTGTTTGTATTCGATTGCAATATAGAATCGGCCTTTCGGAAACTCGAGTACTTTGTACTATGTATAATAATACCATAAACATAACAAACATTTGTTCACACGAGTAACTGTTTATTTTTTTTTTCATTACTTATAGATTTCTAAGAAACCCATTACTCTAAAATGTTATCCGGATTTTGAATAACAATGTAAACCGAGAAAGTCGGTTGACTCGCTCGCGCACTGCCACGATGGCATTGTTCAGTATAATATATTTTGGTATTAAAACGATGCTGTGTTTGTTTCCGGAACTCTATACCTTCCTAATAGGATGTCGAGCTACTTTAATAATTTGAACGTACTATATTTACATAAAGCCCAACTTCAGACTTCTCGGTAAACACAAAGTAAAACGAATTAGATTGCCACATTGAGCCCGAGTAACTTATACTTACGCCACAAAAGCTTTCGACAAACCGCCTTGTGCGTTTATATTTAAAACATTGCTTCTTGTTGTCTTATAACATATGTATAGTATGCCGAATCTGATTCCACAATGAGTTTATAGAAAGATATTGCCAAGCTAAAATAAAATGTACTAACTTATCGACAACGTAACTGAGGATGGTGCCCGTATTGATATTAGTCAATTGGTTATGCTTAGGGTTTATTACTTAACATTAAACGTGTAGAGTCTACACTGTAGACGGAGATAAACTGTATGAAAAAACAATAATATCGATCAAATCAAATTCCAAATATATTATTAAAAATGATGGAATGTTATAATTTCGACAAGATATTTCACATTATAATAATTTAAATAAGTTCCTATTAATAAACGGTTATAATGTTTAAAAACTAACACCTCTCATTTTTATAAACGTGCAATTTATTTTGTCTGCTATCTCATTTCTAAACTAATCTGATTTCAAATCGCGTGTCTGATAATATTTTCAAAGCCCTATTATTTAGAGACTATGTAATAAGGATTCATTAATTCATTGGACCATTAATAGATTTATATTAGCATTAACAACGTGGAATCCATATAAGGTTTTAGGTTATCCTACTAATGTCCGTAATGGTTTCTACTTGAATTTGCTATCAAAACATATAATTATTTTGACAATCGCATGTATAACGGTATAAATGTATAAAGGATGCACGCGTAGCTGCGTATTTGTTAAGCATATTTTTACACAAGCATGTTTGAGCTATCTGTATGATGATTTCGTACAAGCATTGTGATTGTACAAAAGGCTCGATTGAATTTTTATCTGCATGCTTGTGTCATGTGGCGGTGAAGGAAAAGTATGTATGCTTTTGCAAAAAAGATTGTGTATACACGCTTGACTAGCATTCAGCCGCCTTTACATGAGTTTCATATGTACAAAAAAATGCTATTATGAATTTATTAATCTAGAAAAATTGTAAGCAACGCTTGTGGTTATATATTATAAAATAATAAAATAAACCCTCAGCCTAGTCTATGAGTCTCAGTCTATCTCAGTCTGTTGTATGCGCTGAAGATGGTAACATTTCTGCCTAAATACGTAAATGCATAAGTGTATTATGTTTGTGGTTAAGAGATTATTTTATAATGAATTAATTAGTTCACATTGACTCCTAGTTCATTTATTACAAGTAAAGATTATATTGAATTACATTTAAATTTGTATTGATGATTAATAAAACGTTTAGTGTAAGCTAGTCTAACAGAATTCATATCTACTACAAGTGTAAAATAATATTCAAACACCTACATTAGAAAACGAGATGAGGGCTAAATATAATGTAATGATTTAAAATATCGTAGTAACACTATTATAATATTGTTTAGCAATACAATAGAAAACAAATCAGAAAATGTAATAGATTATTTAATTAAACCACAACAGTGTCGCGCCCACAACTATAAATATTAATTTACTATTTATGTATTCTTTTTTGATTGTATTAAATAAGTTTCCGGGATATCTAAAAAGTATTTCAATACTTGTATTCAAAAACAGTGTTTTAACACTGAATCTATTATATATGTATTACCGTATCAATTATTATACAGCCGTTGTTGTATAAATTATTGTTTAATATTTCCATGCCGTATGCTGTTACACGATGATGGTAATGTTTTAACATTTATTTTTATTTATTTTGCAAGCATATAATATGTAATGTAAAGGGGTGCGCATGCATTATTTTCGTATTAAAATGAATTCGTAGAATACGTTGCTGCACGCGGTGTTCACAGGGGAACTGTCTTCTTCCACCTCGTGTACCTAGCTCGTTTGGTGTTTATGTAACATAAACAAAAAAATAAAAACCGTACATGTTTGTCCATTATTAATTAAAGTCGGTGTGTTGAATCAGGAACTGTTGTTGGTTTACTAGATTACACATTATACTGTTAACGATTTTGTTTAGGTTACGTTGTGCGAATTGCGTGGAGTTTATCGTCTGTGTTTTACGGAATAGTTTGGCCGATTGCTAATCGCTTGAAACTTTTGAAAGTTCCTAAGTTATACGCCATGTGTGATAATGAGTTGGCGGTACTTTGACAGCCGACAAGCCGAACGGGTTGGGAACAATTGGGTTTGAGTGTTGAATAATTGATCGTATATGGATTGGTAAATAACCATACTCGATCGACATGAACACGGTACAGAGCTCTGGAGGAGGTGGCGGCGGCGGAAGCAGCAAGGACAAAGGACTAGAGGTGAGTGTTTTGAAAGAAAATAATTAGATAAAGTTAAAGATGCAAGAGTGTGTCACTCGCGCTGAGGTGAATTGTAATTGCATTAACAAAATAACCTCTACTTAAAACAATAATAATAGTAATAATTATATTAGAGGAAAAGCAAACTGTCGTGAAACAGCATGTTGTGTATAAATATGTAGCTTATTATTCGATGACGAAAAACAAGATGTAAACACTTGCTATAGCCATTAGCCATAATAAACTTTTTTTATTATTGTGAAATGTTTATGCGTTTTTTTGTTTTGCGATGAGTAGAAACTAAAAACGACGCAGTTTCGTCGTAATTAAAAGTAAAACTGAACAAACGGGACAATATAATAATGTGTATACTCACTTAAAAATTAATAAATCAAAGTACCAGGCGAGGGCCACGTGATAGTAGTTTAGTCTAGATTTGTGCTTCATGTTTGTGTATTAATCAAGCGCGTGTTGATGTGATTAATTTGATTGACTTAGGTACACCTGCACTAGACAAATTCATCCGAAAGTTAGCTGTGTAGAATATTATTTTGTATTCCCGTCACGATATGGGCCAATAAGTTTTGGATCCCGTACGCGATGAACGTGAGTACGTTCGAGGATTTTTCACTTTCAAAATATGTAATTAAATGAATTATGAGCGCATATAAGTCTGAGGGTTTTAATTAAAACTGACGGTGACCCAGACTAATTGTTTTAAAAAAAACTGGTCACGAAATAGCCAAGCATTTTATAAAATTGTTAAGATATGCCCATTTATCTAATGAGCAGAGATCTGTTGAGACCAAATTAATTGTATTTCACTTTCTGCTGCGCGCACTCTTGTATACATTAAATAACTTTATTTTTGGTTTTATTTTTACAATTTATAGTAAATTTTATAAAAAATAATACATTTCTTTAGAGGGAACTGCATTATTTTTTATTATCGTGTAAAGCAATGCTCAGAAGATACACTTTTCTGACAATTTCGGCTACTGTTAAATTAAAAAAATTTTGTTCACAAAATTAAAGAAAGATTTTGTTTTTATTTTCATGTGGCGGATTTTCGTTACAATTATTTGAAACTCTTTTACATTACTTACAAATCATTGAGTTATATGATATGTAAATTACTGTATTTTTAGTTAATTTTTTTATCGAAACTCGTCCGTGTCATCGAATAAATACATTTTCGGCTATTAATACTGTAAGCATACATCAATTACTAAGTCGTTTACACTAAAACCGATCAGTTCCTTTAGATAAGTGCATTACTTTATGTCGGGTCTCACCAAAAAAATAATACGAATAATGGTTCATTAAAATTTAATGGACCAATCACGAGCCACTAAAGTATGTTTAAAGAACCATTTAACATCTATTGATTCATTAAACGTTGAATAAACGTTTATACAACTTGTTATAATAACTTTTAAAATGATTATCGACCAATCAAAATGTTTGGCAAATTATTCTTATTTTAAAAAGTTCTTAAATATATACGTTTCCATTTGACTTTTAACAGTTGATAGCTCTCAGAAAAAGTCTAAAAAATGTAAATATTTAGTATTTTATAATATTGTAAGATAAAATAAATAAAAATCTGAATCACTCGGTATAATTATTGAGGGAATTTATAGATTTCTGTGTTATTAGTAGTTTTTTCTGTAATACTGTCACTATCTTGTTAAGGATACATTCAAGGGTCGTTTATGACCTATGCTTTATTTCAAATATTTGAATAAAAAAAATATTTTTGTTAGTATTTTTTATTTAATTTTCATATCGACTATTCGATGTGTTGTATCATTGTGATTTTATTTTAGCAATCGTTAATGTTTTATAACGTGTACTATGACTGACAACTATATACAAACAATATACAGTAAAATAAAACTGTATATTTTTTTGAGTACGGGTCTTAATTTCCGGTGCATTATATATGGGTGTTACATCAGATATTAAATTGAGACGGATATACTACCATTAGTACTACTCCGCCCGTTCAATGAAATATACAGTAAAACTTGTATAAGCGGTATTGAATTATGTAAACTATAATAACGTTTTATGGATGTTTGCTTTTTCTTTGCATCATGATTTAAATAATAATTATTATTACATAAGATGATCTTTATGTATTAGCTTGTAAGCAGTAGTTAATTTTTCAGGACCTTTTAGTTCATATAAATCGTACGCCGAAACGGTTAAGTACAAATTTATATGGTTTTGTTGATTTATTATCCTTTAGAATATGACTTTTTGTATGATAATCTTGCCAACGTTCAGCATAATATAATACTTTTAAAACATAAAACAACTCTTGTTTTCCATCATGGTATTAAACTTCTAGAAATAAATAAGATAAGGGCTGCAATATCCATTTTAATAAACCAACAGCTTCTTAAAACTTTTTAACAAGGGTTTTAGGAAACTTATAATAATGATAAGCGTTATAACTCGAGGCGTTGAAAATTACCTAACAAGATACTGCGCAACTCCGTCTTTATGTTGTACAAATACCTAATGGGATTTACTTTATGCTTGTAACTCAAATATGGGAAAGCAGGTCAACTAGCTTAGGAGTTAGAGTTTATGTTTTTCTTTAAGATATATTATCTACTTAAATTCAATTACGTGTATCTTAAAAACGATTTATTTGTTTACTCAATAGACTTACTAACCCTACATGACTTGAAAAGTGTTAAAAACTTTTAATTGTACCTATACTGTGATGTATTCTAAACTTCTAATGTTTGGGTGAATAAACTAATAACCACTCTTGTTGTAGCCAAATAAGGGTTTACAGAAGTTATTGCTCTTATGGAAAATCAATCATAGAGCGCAAATACAAATATTATCATGGAAGTATAAGTCATACAGTATAAATATTTATTTTATTTTTTGCAGTTGGGAGTAAAATTTTGAAACGTGAAAAACACTTTTGCCTAAACATTTACTTAGGTGTTTGTTAAGTACTTTCATTTTGAAAAGGTTATCATCCTATACAGTGATTTACTTTATAGTATTAGACATTGTTAAACGACTCATGTTTTTGAGAAAATTAAGTTATAAAAAAAAATATATTTTGATTAAAAAAAGAAAAATTTAGTTTTAGTATTTTAGTGTATAACCACAACATTTTAACTAACCTGCAAGTGTAGTGATAATATAATTATCATTTTATACGTGCCGGTTGAATATGGTTTAAATTTTCAATTAAAAATTAGTTTTGCGCTGTAGCTTTGGTTCTTTAATGATTCTTTTGAGCGATAAATTTGACTCGTTCGACTAATAAAAACTATTATGTTTCAGCTTTTTCGTGTCGTTATTCGTTAATTATATCTATATTTTTACTAGTAAACGACCAATTGACGGCGCAAGTTGTAAAAGTACTTAGAACAAATATCTTTACTACCTAAAGTAATTGCAAGAGCAATGTAATGTTTTATATTTTACTCAGAAAATAGATATAAAATCATCTTTGTACCTACTGTTAAAGAATTTCTCTAAATTAAAGCTTTAGTAAAATTTAATTTAACTAAAGTGGTATCACTTTAATTTTCTTGACAGTATTTATATATTTTATCTGAAGTGTTTAGAGGTTTTTCAAGAAAAAAAATCTATTTTCTTCCTACCATTCTTTGTGGTGATAACCGAACGTTGTTAGGTATTAAAAAATAATGCATTATATGTCAGCAATACATTTTAAATGGCGATAAGTCATTTGCATGCCTGTTGGACGCATTTTCTTTTTTAATTTTTACTGCAATTTTTACTATACATTTTTAAAATACAAAATTTATTTTTATATGTTCTTTGTACGTACAATTACTTTAATAGTGTTTATCATTCAATTTTAAGTTATTAAAATAAATTGATTCAATAAAATTATGTTAAGTACATATATATATATATATATATTTTTTTTTTAAATAAATTATTATTCAAAAAGCATAATTTAAATTCTAGTGGTTGCATGGTATTTTGAATGATGTATTAAAATTTGTATTGGTGTAATAAGTAAAAAATAGTTTTTTATGCAAAATAAAAGAAGGTAACGACCTCATCAAATAGCAGGTGTATGCAAAGTTTTAAAGTTAAAGCTATAAAATTGCGTGTGAAATTTACTTTCAAGGTTCTTAGAACAAGTCAGTTTGGTCGTAAACTATAAAAATGGCTAACTACTTAACGATAGTATTTATGTATGTTATACATATAATATATTGGATATGCATGTTGTAAAAACATAAAATTAAGGTTTTAATTATGTTGTTAATAAATAAGAAATATTTATTTACTTCCACTGTAACCATTAAGAATTTACAACGGTATAAAAAAGTTTTTGTTAAATTCTTACAAAGCATATAGGTATTATTATTTTAAATAAAACATTTTTGTAATCGAAAAATATAATATTTTATGAAACTATACAATGAAGTTAATTATGTAAACACGAAAAAAAAAGTATTTGCAGAACGCGGAAAGATAAATATTACCTAGTAAAGTACTTATATTGTTAATGCTATATATAGGAATTGTAATGTCATTTGCAAATATGTAAAAATATTGATTACAAAAACGTTAGTTTAAAACCAGAGGACGATTTGTTTATACAATACTGTAAAAGTTCAAAGCATATTTATTTTCTTTGTAATTTAATAAAAGTTTAACGAACTGCGTATACTTGTATAATGAAATTGAATAATCTTAAAACAGTTATTACTATAAAAGAAGATGTTTATAAATGTTTACAATTGTGAGTAAATCTAAAAAAAAATATTTAGTTCTTACCGTTGCGCTGTAGTCTATCCTGTACCTAGTCGTTTTACGTTTCAGAGACTAGGTATCTTAACACAAAAACGTTTGCACAATATTGCAGGCAATAAGAACCGCAATAAAAGCATTGTCTTATAAATGTACGATTATTTGTCTATTACTTTTTTTCCGGTTTTGGTTGAAAAACCATTAAAACAAACGCACTTGGCCGTTGTATT